GATTTGACTAACTTTTCATTACCTTTAGCAGATGTCCCATCAATTTTAGGTGCAATCAGTTTTATTACTAGAATTATCAATATAAAACCACCAGCCATATCTCAATATCAAACACCACTATTTGTTTGATCCATTCTAATTATAGCTGTACTATTATTACTTTCACTCCCACTGCTACCAGATGATATTACTGTGTTATGTATCTTTCCTTCAATATTGAATAATAACCTTGCTGGGTAGAGTATCCTAAGTTGTAGGTTTTTCCCTTTCAGCACTTTAAATATATCATGTCACTCCCTTCTGGCTGCAAAGTTTCTGCAGAAGAGTCAGCTGATAGTCTTATTAGGGTTCACTTGTACATGGTCCTTTGTTTTTCTCTTGCACCCTTTAAAATTCTCTATGTATCTTTTTCCATTTTAATTTTGATATGTCTTGGTGTTGGTCCCTTCGAGTTCATTTTGTTTGAGACTCTCCGTGATTCATGTACCTGGAAATCTGTCTCCTTCTTCAGTGTGGGTAAATTTTCAGCCATAATTTCATCAACTATATTTTCTCCTTTCTCTCTCTTCTCCTTCTAGTACCCCTATTATGCAAGTGTTAGTAAGCTTGATGTCTTAGAGGTCCCGTAAACTATCCTCATGTTTAATTTTTTTTTCTTTTTGCCATTCTGATTGTGTGTTTTTCGTTATTCTATCTTCCAGATCCCTTACATGTTCTTCAGTATCACTTAGTCTGTTATTAATTCCTTCTAGTGTATTTTTCATTTCAGTAATTGTATTCTTTAGCTCTGACTTTTTCCTTTCTGTATTTTCTAGTTCCTTGTTAAAATTCTCACTGTGTTCATCTCTTCTTTTCCCAAGTTCAATTAGCATCTTATTACTAATGCTTTGAACTCTTTATCTAATTAATTATTTACCTCTGTTCCATTAAGTTTTCTTTTAGGGTTTTTTTCTTATTCTTTCCCTTGAATGTACATGTTCTTCTGTCTTCTCATTTTGTTTAACATTCTCTGTCTCTATGAATTAGGTGAAACAGTTACCTGTCCCAGTCTTGAAGGAGTGTCTGTGTGGAAGCATTCCTATGCAGTCCATGTGTACTCAGTGGCTTTGGTGGGAGAGCTGCCGTGTTAGAAATCAGTGATCTCTTATAAAGTAGATTCAAAGAGTTTTCTGGGATTCAACTAATCTTGAAGGGAATGTGTAAACAGTGGAACATGTTAATTAAGGACACGTCTGACTTGGATTTGTCTTTATTTTGTTGGACTTTTTAAACTTTCATTTTACATCATCCTTGGCCATTGTCGCAGCCTGTTGGGATTCATGATCTCTGCGTATAAGCAGATAAGTAAATAGATGGAACTGATAACTTAATTATAGTCCCAGAGAATGGGTAAAGTTCCCAGCCATACCTCCACTAATTGAAGGGTAATTCTGCCTTTTCTCATTTAGGAGGCAGGCAGGAGTGTGAGAACACCTACTACAGAGGAATACATCAACATAGGTACATTGAATTCACAAGAGGCATATCCACTTAGAAATTCTCTTCCCTAGGAAATTTCCTAAAAACACAACAACATCCTCACACTTTGAAGCTTTTTAGTAAGATCACCTCACAGAAGACTGGTAACACCCTGAACAACGGTTCACTTCAACAATGTTGTTTCTCTAAAGCAGGGGTAGAGCTGTAACCAAATCTGGTCCCATTTGTTTTGCACAACTTGCAAGCCAAGAATTGTTTTACATTTTGAAATGGTTGGAAGAAAATCAAAAGAAGAAGAATATTTCATAACACATGAAAATTATAAAAAATTCACATTTCAGTGTCTAGAGATAAGTGTTATGGGATTACACCCATGCCCATCAATTTTCTATGGCTGTTTTCACACTACAGCATGGTGTGGAATAGTTGCAACAGAGACTGTATGGACCACAAAGGCAAAATATCTGCTATTTGGCCCTTTGCAGAAAAAAGTTTGTCAACCTCAGCTCTAGAGCTCATGTGAGGAAAGGAGGCACCGAATCCCCCTGGGTATGTACAAAATGAGCACCTATTTACAAGCTTGTATAGGCATCTTTGTATGCAGTTATGGGGATTGCACAAGACAAGGAATAGAGAAGAGAGTGAGCTAGTAGGGTCGAGGTGCTTAGTCCCAACATTCCTTCAGGAAATCAGTTGTCATTCCTCTCACTGATGCACCCACTTTTAAACTACCTCCTAGAACCTTGAAACTACAGGATCTGGGAGAAGAATAGTCGAATACAGTGTGTAGGGA